AGCGCCAGGTTCTCCATGTGATGCACGGTCTGACGCAAACAGAGCAGAATTAAACTCTCTTCTCTACTGCCGCTCAGGAATCTGCAGTTCTGCCTCATCCGGAGGTGACAAGAACATTGAAAAAGTTCAGATGTACAGTGTTCATACAGCGTAGAACGATGTATGAACACTGTACAGCCGAACTACTTCAACTTTGACCCTTTTTCATATCATTACAACGGTTACAACTGAGATGTGTCACCTTGTTGAGAGAATCATTGTTAAAAGACAGGATTTAGTTAGAGGGACTTGATGTGTGCAATTGATGAGTGGTATAAACTGTTAACGAATTTTCTTTCTGCATTTCCGTTCCTTCTTCTGCTCAAACAGCTACAGTAGCGCCCCAGTCCTGCATAGGATATGCTCTTCTACGACGTCAGGAGTTGCCTCTACCGATGAGGGGCCATCTAATCTCGTCAGGGAATCAGGACGTCATCAGATTAATCGGAAACCCGGAAACTCCCCCACCCAACGACACAAGGACTGCCTCTTCGTCTGCTCGTATAATTGTCGGACTATTGCATCGGATGCTGATCTTCCGAACACTTTTGCTGAGGAGTCGTCAGATCAAGTACGATGTTATCGCTATACAAGAAACGAAGGGCAGAACGGAAACCATTAGAAAAACCGATCACAATGAGCTGCTTATTGTCGGAAACTCTATGTTCGAGAAGCCGACTGGACGACGATGGACCTGGGAAAGTCCAAATGGAGAAACGCGCAAGGAAATTGATCACATCCTAACCAATCGACGCTGGAGCCTATTCGACGTATCAGTACTGCCGTCATTCGATACTGGCTCAGACCACCGTTTGATACGTGCCAAAGTATGTCTCAAGAAGAAATTATTCAAGCGCGACAGGCATAGGCCCTTACCTTCGAGGACTCCCTCCTACAACAGTGAGCAATTGGAAGCTTGCATTGAGGCTCATAGCTGGAATTTGCTGGACGACCCATCAGAAGACTACAAATATCTGGTCGAAGGTCTGTCCAAGTGCGCAGAGCTTTCACGACTCGCGCGATCAGATTCCAGCCCAAGGCTCAATGATGTCGCAACCACTTTGTTGGAAAAAAGGAGGGCAATGAAAATGGATCCCTAATGCCACGCACTTGGAAAAAGTCACCATCAACAAGGCATGCCGGTTTGCCGTCAGAGAATCACTCCGAGCTTACAGAAGAACTAGACTGCTGAAGGCGGCAGAAACAAGATCGAGCATCAAACGCTGCAAACGAGATTTGAACGATCAAAGAAATGTCATTTCAGCTCTTATAGACAAGGATGGAAGAATACAAACATCTAGAAGATCTATCGAGGACATCGTTAGTGAATTCTACACGCAATTTTGTCGCTCTTCCACAAATGTCTCAAGATGCTCTTACCGCCTGCTGAAGACCCCCCTCCTATTCTGGAATCGGAAGTTGCAAATGCGATAAAAAAGATGAAGAAAGGAACTGCTCCTGGACCCGATGGCATATCTGCCGATCTTCTTCGTGCAGGAGGAAAGTCCCTTCACACACTTCTCGCAAGCACTTCAGTCATTACCTGCAATTAGGAATGATTCCAGAACAGTGGAGAGAATCGAGAACAGTTCTTCTGTTCAAAAAAGGTCAGAGAGAGGAGATTGCCAACTACCGACCTATCAGTCTGCTCTCGACGATATATAAGTCGTTCACGAAAATACTGCTCAACCGTATGGAACGCATCTTGGACGACTATCAACCACCAGAGCAGGCCGGCTTCCGCAAGAATTTCTCCTGTATGGACAACATACAGGCAGTAACACAGCTCATAGAGAGGAGCCGCGTACCATCTTCCACTTGTCCTCGTCTTTGTGGACTACAAAAAGGCCTTCGACTCAGTGGAGGTTAATGCTGTTCTCAACGCCCTTGTGCGAGCCGGAGTACCCTCTGCCTACATTCGCCTGCTCGAACAGAGTTTATCGAACACATCAACAACCCTGCAACTGTTCGAGCGCAAGGTAAAAGTACCCATTGAGAAAGGGGTACGGCAGGGGGACACGATATCCCCGAAGTTGTTCACGGCAGCACTACAGTATGCGATGTCAAACCTCAACTGGGATGACAAAGGATACTTGATTGACGGGAAAAGAATAAGCAACCTCCGTTTCGCCGATGATATCGTTTGATATCCAATAACACAGTCGAAATGGAAGATATGGTAAACGAGCTCGACATGATTGGTCAGAAGATTGGCTTGGAAATGAATATGTCCAAAACGAAAATGATGGTGAACCACTGGTGTGACGCGGGAACCGTGAAATTGGCAGGAGTTGCTCTCGAAAGAGTGGATTCCTACGTGTATCTGGGAAGAGAGCTAAACATGCTGAACAACATCTCTTCTGAAATAAGCCGCAGAAGGCGTGCAGCATGGGCAGCTTTTGGAACGATTCGTGAAGTAACGGAGCAAATTAAGGACCCTAACCTAAGAGCCTCGATATTCGACGCCACGGTGCTACCAGCGATGTGTTACGCGACCGAAACCTGGCCTGAAAACAGGACAATCACCAAGGCAATGCAAACTACGCATCGTGCACTGGAGAGATGTCTTTTGAAGGTCGGCCGCCGCCAGCAATGGCAACAAGGTCTACGGAAGTACAGACCTAAGGGAGCGGTCGAGATTGAAAGATCCGCTGCAGTATATGGCGCAGTGCAAACACCGCTGGGCTGGTCACTTGCTCCGCCGCAACGATGACAGATGGAGTCTCCGCGTCACAGAATGGCTCCCAAGGAACGCAAAACGGCCTCTGGGACGACCACCAACGCGTTGGTCCGACTCGTTTTTGAAATATTTCAGAGAACGCGGTCCACCACATTGGATGCAAGTCGCCAGAAATCGTGCGTTATGGAAGAGCTGTGGTCCCCACTGAAGATCAAGCCAGCTGAAGGACCATCAAAGTATCAAGTATTTCCGTTCAGAACTGCCCTGTGTCATTTGCCACATTTTCACATCCCACCCTGTCCAAAGTCGGGTCGCGAAGCCTGGCAGCGCACATGAAGGGGGAGTGCCTGGCGACAGCTCAACCTCCCGAGCACCCAAAATATGAATGGTACGGGAACTCTGTGAAGTTTTAGTGAAGTTTTCAAAACTCTGGCTAGCAACCATCGGTGCAGTTGGGTTGACCCATAAATGATGGTGTTCTTTTTTTTCTTAAATAAATTTTTGTACAAAAACTGAAATCTTCTCAATGTGTTCAACCGTGTTTAAACTTCTTGCTAATGCTTCCTTGCTTCTTGGTAACTTCCTGCTCCATAAAATGGCAAGATCGATCTTTTGTTCACAATTGATTTTTGTCAATTTTTACTTCATTAGAATCGAAACCGACGTTCAAGTCATCAAAATGGGTGTCGGGCCGACAAAATGGTTTCCGACACCAACTTTTCGGCGCACAAATGCAGAAGTGGTCGAAAGTTGAGATGTGTATGATTTCGGAACGATGCCTTTCAGTACGGCTCGAAAACCTCGACCTGATGTGTATCGCATCAGAGACCCTTTTGGGGATCGACTGCCTGCAGAACGAATGTTTTGAGTTGAATCTTTCCCATAAATTGAAGGTGATGCTCAGTGAGAATGCGAGAGTATTCCATGACTAACATCATTGGCATGGATTTCCGCAAATAATTCAATATTGAAATAGGTAGCGTATACGAGTGGCTCTTGCTGCGAAGTCGAAATTAAAATGTTGAATCGTTCAAACTAGACCGGTTTTTCCTTCGTCAGAGAGATTGCTTTTTGGCCGTATACTCAGCGGATGAATCTCTGCGGCCTCAGCTTTCTGAAGACATCCCCCGCGCTCAAGCAATTCATGGTCGTCCTTTCTTGTGCAAGTATCTCAGTTCTTCACTGTTATGGCGGCGGGCATTAATCGGAATTGCATGTCCTTTTTGCTGACCGCGCTCGTGCCCATAAGTAATTCTGCTCTCCTTTATTACATTTTATTCATTAGGAGCACATACAGTCAACTGCAACCCATCTCGCAAGGTAAAACGCGTAAAAATCACGAGTGATGCAATTTTCTTGGTGCAAAAGCTCGACGCACTAAAAGATGCACGCTACCGTAACCCTAAATTCGTACGCCGAGTTTTTGAAAGTTTCTTTTTGTCAAGAGTTTTCCGTCGGTGTTTTTGTTGTTTTTATTCTTTTCTTTGCATTGGATGATATCCACTACTGGGAGATGCGAAAAAGCGATTTGTGAGCCAGGGGTTGCACAGAGACCGCAGGGAGGTGTGACTGTCAGGGAGCGATTTTGTTTATGGTGTTCTTGAGGACTCTTCTTGCTTTTTTTCTTTGGGGAATTACTTATCAGCTACTGTTTCATAATTGAACAGCAACTATCCATGACACTTTAGCGCGGGAACTGTTTCTAATAAAGTGCAAAAAAGAGGGGCGTGGGAAATGTACAACATCGCCGATTTTGCGCTTCACTTGAGCGCTTACATATCATGGAATCAATATCTTCAGGAAAACTGAGCAAACCTTGTTGCACCAGTATACATCCGCAGATCATCTCATCTTTCACCGGAAACCTCAGTTTAGAGAAAATGTCATTACTTTTGGGCCTACTATATTTAATTCTTGCTCCCCTACTCGTTCCAGCCAGATTTCATTTGAAATTTTACCGCGTCTGTGGTTCTGGCTACAGTTTGGGCGACGCTAGTTTGACCCTTCGAATATGCGGCTCTTGATCGCCTGGAGCGCCAGAAGCGCCGACGCCAGAACACCTCAAAACATCGTATTCGTTGAAACATCGCCCCCAACGTTATCAAATGCCCTTGACACTACTGTTACCACAACTTGGCGTGAAAGTGCCTGGTTTGTGAGCGCAACTATATATAACCATGGTGTGACTCATGAAACTTCCCACAACATCAACGACGTAAAGGCTACATCAAAACGCATTGTAAACATGAAGAAACACGAATAGTAGACCGTGAATAATTCGTCATAGGGAAGGGCACGGTACCTGTTCATATTTCAGACGTTTGTGAGCCTGCTTTAATTCTTCTTCCTGCACTTTCTCAACTTCTTCAATTTCTCGTTTTTGCTTCCTCTCCAAGGCCTCCATATCAATTTCATACTGCCGCGTAAGAACCTGGATGGTTACATAATCCGTTCTTATCCTTGTAGAACTGAACTTATCAATAAATACAGTACACATACGCTGCGGAACAAAACCTGGAATAATCCAAAAAAACGGAGTTTTCTATTACATTATTACTTGATTTTCCTTGACTTGTGTATCGAAATATTATGGAAACAGATAAATTGTCTGAAAAAACTGTTCTCAAATCAGTAAAAAAGACTCTAAGGAAACACAGAAGAAGGTGGAGGCTAGATTCCGACACCCCACCCGAGGCCAGCATTCGGATGAATAAGTGACCGAGTAAAAGCCTTCACCTCAACCCCATCAGGCATCTTTGAGATGACTTGAAGCATGAGTCAAAGGAAAGAAGACCACCAACACGAGTGAGCAGTTCCATGCATTCTTTGGAATTTGGGGGAAATTGAGTGTTCGTGAAATTTTCGTTCGTGGAAAGCTCCTGTGGAGTGATTCCACGGATGATGAGCGCTGTAATCAAGTCCAGTAGTAAGCGGAAAAAATCTCCGAGCGCTGATGGTTTTTTCTTTTTGAATTCCCGCTATCTGTTTACCTTCCCTGTGTATTGCTGTTAGATAACAGCTTATGAAAAGTTTAAAGAGCGATTTTGTAGCTTGTTCCGAGTTTTTCCGAACGGCTTAAACAGGAAATACACTCTCGAACTCAGAAGTGAACGTGTTCGACGAGTTCATCAGTGGAAGACCTTTTCTTCCACTGATGAACTCGTCGAACATGAACACGTCTTTCAATTCTGCATTTAATGTGCATGGAGACGAAAACAGTGTGAGTAGCATATTGTGCAGAAAGACGAAAATCAGATGCCACCGTTACAAATGAATGAAAACGGGTGTAATCAAATAAATCTCAACAACAGAGGATTATGCCTACCGCCTTCTCTTGCTGGAACTTCCGCTCCTGCTGCTCCGCCAGGTTAACCCCTTCAAGCTGCAACTCTTGCTTCTGTCTCGCCTCCTCACGTTGAAGTCGACGCAAATCTTGAAGCTGCTGCTTCCTGAAAGCTGCTGCTTCGTGTTTTGTGTTATAGAGCCATGCAGCCGATTCGCAAAAAATTATCAGAAAAGTCTCAACGCCCGTCTTCTCTCAAAATGACCACAGCTGTTCACTTATAGTTTGCGCTCCTGCGCGTTGGGGGTTGGTTAACATTGAATCCTTAGTCGACCGAAACTTCAACCAGTTGAGCCCAAAGGCAAAGCCCGTGACCGCAGATGTGGGTAACGGAGCTCAAGTACGAACAACAAAGTGCTAGGTAACTGATTAGTACAGGGAAGATGCAGAAAACCAGTCCGAAATGCTCTAAATATGACTCCATTCTAACCCAGCTTGTAAGTGCATGCAATGAAGAGAAGGCGTGTTTGTGCGAATCAACTTTCACTCGTCCTTATCATAATCAGCTATTTTATCTTATCACCTTGCTCTCACCATTCGGAATGGAGAGAGATAGCATAGTGGCTACTAGCTAGTAGCTAGCAGCCGGTGGGGTCGGCATGGGCCTAAGGGGTGCCTATAGGCCTAAGTGGTCAGCTTCCACTGGAACTCTTGCTAATTTTGGAACCTGGCATAAGTGTACGTCTGTAACTTCTTCTACTGTGTGCCAAACATGTCCGTAGAACTTCACTCAACCCGATAATCGCCTTTCTCAACAGTATCACAACATACCGACACATTCGTTTATTTATGTTGCTTAACGTATTTACTGCACTTGGCCAGTTGCAACTTCATTCACTGATGAACGTCACAGAATAATCCCTCCAGCAAAAGAAGCATCTCACCTAAATTTCACAAGCAAAAACTGCTTAGGCAGCGTTCAGACTTCGCGACGGCGGCGCTTCGGCCGCGCGTTCGGGCGATCGATCGCGTCGCTAGTGGTAGCGGCCGGTTGTGTAGCGCGACTGATTCGATCGCGCTCCAATGCAAAAATCAACTGGACGGATGCTAATTTACAGCCATTTTCGGTTACTTTTTGCTTCTTTCTCCTCCCGCTTGCTTCTCGCTTGTTTCTTCCTCCTCCTGGCACTATTATTTCTAATCTGTTTCTAATGTTTGTCGGTTATTATGCTTTTTACCTTTGACATAGTGAAATTTTTCAGATGCACTGAAATTTTTTGGGCCGTTCAGCGCGCAACTTTTCTTGTTTTCGAGGTGGGTTTTTCAGGTTCCCTGCAGTTTTGGTTATCTTTTTGATTCTCATCAATCATATTGTGTTTAGCTTGGTCGGTAGTTCAGCAGTTCAGTAGAAACCTTCACCTGTACGGTAAGTAGTTTCTCTTTGCACCAATTTCTAATTGTGTTGTGTCTTGGTTATGATTAAGTTTACTATGTTCTCAACATGCTCAAGGTGCAAAGAGAAACTATTACCGTACAGGTTTCTACTGAACTGCTGAACTACCGACCAAGCTAAACACAATATGATTGATGAGAATCAAAAGATAACCAAAACTGCAGGGAACCTGAAAAACCACCTCGAAAACAAGAAAATCCGAAAAATTTCAATGCATCTGAAAAAGTTCACTATGTCAAGGGAAAAGCATAATAACCGACAAACATTAGAAACACATTAGAAATAATAGTGTCAGGAGTAGGAAGAAAGAAGCAAGCGGGAGGTGAACGAAGCAAAAAGTAACCGAAAATGGCTGTAAATTAGCATCCGTCCAGTTGATTTTTGCATTGGAGCGCGATCGAATCAGTCGCGCTACACAACCGGTCGCTACCACTAGCGACGCGATCGATCGCCCGAACGCGCGGCCGAAGCGGCGCCGTCGCGAAGTCTGGAACGCTACCTTACTATTAGGTTGATGCATATGTTTTAACCCCGACTTTTTTGTAAATTTGATCCTTCCGTATTTCGTTTGCATGGATGTTGGTATTTCGTCATCACGTGTGCGTGACGTGTACATGATACTCTTTCATCACACTAGCTATCACTCACCCACCCTGCATTTGCAGGCTACAATGCCGCACAATTACCACTGTGAAATCATGTCACAGTGGTGATTGTGCGGCATTGTGGCCTTCTTCGGGTCCCAGCCCCCGTCCTTCTGGGAGGATGGAATCGACAAGCTGCCTGAGCGTTGGCGTCGAGTAGTGGATGGTGATGGTGCATACCTCTAATCTTCAGGCTGGTTCGCTATTGAGATATTTACAAAAAAGTCGGGGTTGAAAACATATATCAAACTACAGGGACGCAACAGAGCTTGGGAGGCTTCCCGAGCGTGCACTAGTTGTGGCAGTAGACTGCCTACGTACAGTGCGTCATGATATCAGGTTGGTGGGAAGGTTCTGTCACTTTTTTGAACTCAAAATACTTGCTAATTACCTGAAGAGAGCTGATCGATAATGTGAGCAGCAATAAATAAAGGAACGCTCTCCCCACTAGCACTACTCGGTTGACTCCTATTTCTTCCTCTTTCGCAATATGGACAAGAATGGAATCAGGTACTGTACCGTCCCTCCAAGCGCTCCCTCATACTCTCTTCCATCACTCTGACGCTAGCCTGAGAGCTGCCGATGCCAAAATAAACAGCTGCACAAAGACGACACTCCCAATTACTGGACAATCTTCCACGATGCTAATGCTTCAAAGGGAGCCTACAGCTTCGAAACGAAGTATTCTTTGGATGTGCATGTGAACTCAAACTGAGGGAACTGCGGTTCGTGAAACTGCTGCAAGAAGCTGCTTCCAAAAGCAATCCTCACGCAAAGCAGCTACAGGATCTGAAGGGAATTGTCAACTAGAGGGGGGAATTTGCTCGCCCTCAACGAGGGACTGCAGCCCACATTGTCTAAAAAAGGTAGGGCAGAGCCCTCTCGCGGTAGAGCTGGATGGCTCTCCTTTTGCAGCGGTGTAGCCCAGACATTGCTTCTTCCAAATGCTAGTCCGTACCTACCTGTATATGTACGTGAAAACCTCTACGACATGAGCCAAAGGCAACCGGGACGATTTTTAACTTTGTGTCACGCCATCCTGTTGTAAAGCGATGGCGTACTCAATAAGTGGCAAAAACCTCGCAAAAACAATGCTCTACACTTCTAATTATACGCTTCTCTATAAAAACAAAGTCCAATTAAAAAAGTGTGACAGAACTTTCCGCCAAAGTGATATTATAGAGCACATAACGAGATGTAGGGCAGGAATCAGAAGCTATCAACATGCATTCGTTTCTGCTGTTCATGCAAGGCTTACCGTGCTATATCCCGCAAGTTTACGACGCTTTCCTCATTGCCAATTTAATCACGTCGTTAGTAAGCTGCTGGCGTTGGTGAATGACAGGTGTGATGCTTTTTGTGGTGAAGGTAAAGCTCTTTAGCATGCATCAGTGAATTTCATTTCTACCGGCTGGCCGGGCATAGACAATTTCGACATTACCCCCCCCCCCCCCCCTTGAGCGCTGTAAATTCGGGTTCACATTTTGAAGGAATAAGTGCTCATTTGGGTTCTCTTTTTGATGCCATCTTTTTTTCAACCACCCTTTATTTCACCCGGCTGCCCCGACATAGGACGAACTCAGCATCACGCACCATCCCTTAACGTTGTTTATTCGGGTTTACATTTTGAAGGAGTAAGTGCTCATTTGCATTTTTTATGCCGTTTTTTTCAACCATACTTAATTTCTACCGGCTGGCCCGACATGAAAACTTTGACGTTTCCCCCTCCCCACTTCTTGAGCGCTGTTCATTCGAGTTTACACTTTGAAGGAGTAAGTGCTCATTTGGGTTTTTTTTATGTCGTCTTTTTTTCAACATCCTTCATTTCTACCGGCTGCCCCGACTAGACGATCCTCAACATCACACCCTCCCCTCCCCTTGAGCGCTGTTCATTCGAGTTTACACTTTGAAGGAGTAAGTGCTCATTTGGGTTTTTTTATGCCGTCTTTTTTTTCAACCATAGCTTCATTTCTACCGCCGGGCCCGACGTAGAAACTTTGACGTTTCCCCCCCCCCCCTTGAGCGCTGTTCATTCGGGTTTACACTGTGAAGGAGTGAGTACTCATTTGGGTTTCCTTTAACGCCTCTTTTTTTTCAACCATCCTTCATTTCTACCGGCTGCCCCGACACAGGCGATCTGAACATCACCCCCACCCCTTGAGCACATTCGGGTTCACAGTGCTCATTTGGGTTCTCTTTTTGAGGCCATCTTTTTTTCAACCACCCTTTATTTCACCTGGCTGCCCCGACATGGACGAACTCAGCATCACGCACCATCCCTGAACGTTGTTTATTCGGGTTTACATTTTGAAGGAGTAAGTGCTCATTTGGTTTTTTTTATGTCGTCTTTTTTTCAACATAGTTCATTTCTACCGGCTGCCCCGACATAGACGATCTCAACATCATAGACCCCCCCCCCTTGAGCGCTGTTCATTCGAGTTTACATTTTTGAAGGAGTTAAATGCTGATTTGGGTTCTTTTTG